AGTGTATTTCAAGTTTACGTTGAAAATGTGGGCAACACAAAGTGCCATTTTAATATGCCTGGTAGACTTGTAGAAAAGGTAGAACATTTTGGGTTTCAAATACATACATGGATACAATAAATTTTAAAGACTAAGATTTATCTCCAAGCAGAAATTTGCTTATTGGGATTAATGGATGGATAACTAGAAAAGAGCCACAGGTGATTATTTTTATATGTGATCCCCATGAGGAGACTATTATATGCATAAAAATGGAAAGTCTCTGATATACCCATAAGGGAGGAATGATTGGTGAAGATGGAACCAGCAGAGGTGGCAAAATTAACTTGTTTGCATAGAGAAAGTTCAATAATTACATTTTATTAAGGTTTGGAAACCCTTTATGGGCTTTTTGCTAAAAAGGGAGGCAAAAATTAATTTGTGATTTATGGGTTTGATGATTAGAAATGGTAGCTTATGGTATCTCAGTACTTGATTGCTTCAAAACTCTCAAATTTGGTACTCAATACATTTGGACATGAAAATGTTGTCCCAGTACTTGCCGTTGTTTAGTATTCAACACGATGCTATAGGAAGAGGGGAAAAGGTGTGGGAAATAGACAGGAAATCAGCCGTGCTGGGAAGGTCACTACAAAAGGAGCGGGATTGCTGCAGAGGGTGGATAGGAAGTTGGCCATGCTGAGAAGGCCACTGACGTAGGAAAAAGGACAGACAGAAAATGTTTCCTGGCTGAAACAAAGGGTCATATGGTAAGTTACGTGGTTTGTTTGAGATTCATTCTTTTTATTACCCATCATACCTCTCAGAACCAATTAATGCCGAGTATCAAGGTACCACTGTATGATGTAACCTTTGAGAGGGAGGGTAAAATATAAAGGTATATATAACTACTGTCAAAAAGATTGCTTTATAATTTATTTATTTCTTCCCTCTCTCTCTCTCTCTCTCTCTCTCTCCATCCTGTCCCTTTCCTTTCCTTTCCCCTTTCCCCTATTCTTTTCTTTCCATTTTCCTTTCCTTCCTTTCCTTTCCTTTTCTCTTTTCCCTACTCTTTTCTTTCCATTTCCTTTCCTTTTCTTTTTCCTTTTCTTTCCTTTCCCCTATCGCCTACTCTTTTCTTTCCATTTTCCTTTCCTTCCTTTCCTTTCCTCTTTTCCCTACTCTTTTCTTTCCATTTCCTTTCCTTTTCTTTTTCCTTTTCTTTCCTTTCCCCTTTCCCCTACTCTTTTCTTTCCATTTTCATTTCATTTTCTTCCTTTCATTTCATTTTCTTCCTTTCCTTTCCCTTCCTTTCCTCCTATCTTATCATATCCTATCTTATCCTATGCTCCTTATTTTGTTTCTTCTTAAAAATTTGCACTGTTTTTATCTTGTTAAAATGTATTCAATTAAAAATTCTATTTTTTAAAAAAAAAATAGAATTTGACTCAGGGTTTTTACATGTACAGTCCAGATCAAACTTATACTTACCTCATCAGGATCAGAAAGTTTAAATTCCCAGCCATCACCTGTCCAGCTAATGAATGACTGGCAGGACTTGTCTGTCAGAAGTTCCAGCAAGAATTGCCATAACTGAATAGGTCCACTACCTAAGATGAGAGAGGAACAGGGAGAAAAACAAATAAGTATCCTAGAAATGAAACCCATAAATGAAATGCTGTCCCCAGGAACCAATTGGAAACGAGGAAACCACATTCAGGTTAGAGCTGTTTCACTGTTTATTTATTTAGCACGTATTTTACTCTCCTTCCCTGAAATCAAACTGGTGAAGTGAATGCAAAAAGTTATTATTAAAATCCAAGAATAACACTGCAATAAATTAGAATAAGTTAGTATTCAAACATGCTCTAAGCTGGCAGAAAGGTGGGAGGAAAACACTGACACAAGAAAGACCTTGGTAAAGTTATATCTTCATTAGAAGCCTGAAAGACAGGAGCAGGGGTGGGATTCTACTGCTTCAGACCGGTCCAGGCGAACCGGTAGCTCCAACGATCAGCTGTGAGAGAACCAATTCGCTCCGGTGATCAGATGGGCCCACCTNTATACCCCCCCTCCCTATTTTATGTAAGCCGCCCTGAGTCCCTGCGGGGAAAAGGGCGGCCTATAAATATTAATAAAATATCAAAATATCAAAATATCACTAACAGCTTCTAATTCCATTGACTGTTTCCACACTTACTATGCAACCACTGAATTCAGCTACTTTAGAAAAAAGATTTGTTAAATTGCATGCTTATGGTTTTATTTAGCTGTAACATGTCCTCGTGCTTCTGAAAGTGGTCATTTGCAAAGCAGAGCGTTTTTATTGTTGTTGCTGTTTGGTTTTTTAAGAAAAAGGCGAGAGCAGCACTTTCCCACATAACACGGCTTGTGGTTCCTATGTGACAAAATGCTAAGGAACAGTATATTCCACATGAAACTGTCAGCAAAAGGGAGATGAATGAGGGGATCTGAAGCAGCTGTGCAGAAACATGAGTGAGTAAATGATTAGCCTACCCAAACATACCTACATGTTAATAATTTATGGCCCATCAGCCACTGTCTGGAAAGAAAGAAGAAGTAAAAACTCCCTTTCAAAATACGCCAATGCTGATGGAGATATCCAGTTTTAAGAAATCCCTTCTCATCTCAAATGAGTGGCTGTTGGCAGATAAATGCCCCTATGGAATTTCCCATTCTTGTTTGGAAATTAACTTGGCTTTAAGAAAATCCTATGGAAGTCTCATTGGGGAGCAGGAGGGGGGGAGCAGAATGTAAAGTAATATCTAGGGCAGTGGTGTCAAATTCAAGGCCCTTCAAGGGTGCTTAATTTGGCCTGCATGGCCGCCCTGGAAACAACAAAGAACCGGCTTGCAGTGCCTCTGCAGGCAAAAACAGCCTGGGGATGCTGTCCATGTCCTGCTCACCCATGGCCGGCCTGGGCTCCATTTTCAGCTGTGACGCAATGGCCTTTTCAGCCGCGATGGCCTCCTGCAGCCCTCTGCCGGTGAAAATAGAGCCTGGGGAAGCCGTACATGTCCCGCCCACCCACGTCCTGTCTGGGCTCTGTTTTCAGCCGCAATGGCCTCCTGCAGACCTCTTCCAACGAAACTGGAGCCCAGGGAGTGTTGTGGCCCAGCAGGAGCCATTAGAACTGCCGCCAGACTCTGACAGCGAGGGGTCTTATGAGTCGGCCTTGGAGGAGGTGGAGGACCCTGGACAGGGTGTCGACTCCGAACAGGG